TGTGGTGGAATCTGTGAAGCGATGGTGGCAAGGCAGGAGAGAAGGAGGGTGAGAGAATGCAATGAGAGAGTAACATTGTGACCTAATGCCAAGGAGTAAGAAATACAAGAAAAGAAAAGATTCTTCAACAGTTTTGCAACTGTACATTAGAAAAAACCAGATCAAAGGAATAACAAGTTATCTAAAGAACACAAAAACAATGCATAACAGGATCTACTGATATATGACACCACAGAGTGCATTTTGAGGCGTACACCATGGTCACCTCCCAAAGGTAAATAAGAGCAGCTTTGTTTTATCCCTCCGGAGGCTATTCTTTTTTTTCCCTTCCTCTTCCTTTTTGTGTATGCCCACTGCTGATTGTCTGACTGATCTGGCTGGTGCTCACATGGAAAGTAGGAAACTTTCACTTTCAACTGAATAGTTTTAATAGCAAAGAGTAGCAATGAGGTTTACAAATTTTAAATTGATGAGAAATTATATCCAAGCCTGTCTCAACCCAGGGTGTCAGTTACTGTAGTTCTATCACATACCTCTGCTGTCACAGAGGGTTTTCTTTGGCTGTGCATTAAGGCACAGCCTGCAGCAATACTGGATGCTGAGAGATAACAGTCCTCCTCTAAAAGCTACAAAGTCTACAAGGTTGAAGGATGACAGTGGAGTAAATCACAAGTGTGTCAGTAAGGAAACCACTTGTAAACTTTGTGTTTTGCATTTTTCACTTTTTTGCTTTTGTTCATGGGTAGGTTTAGGTACTAAATCCCATTTTTTAGGTTCAGTGAGCGTCTGTGTTGGCTTGTCTGAAGCAGGAATTATACTTTCTGCGTCTGCGAGTCCTTTAGGTTCTGCTCGGGTTCCAGTGATGTAAATTTTGTCATCTGACAGTACCCATGCCTGCCTGTTTTTTCATCCACACAACCACACAATCGGAGGTCAAGGAGATATAACAGGAATGATTACTTGGGTCTTCAGCTGTCCATGTCCATGAATCTGGGCTAAGGCTTCACTAACAGACCAGTTCTGTTGTTTAGCTTGAGTTTCATGAACATTGTGTATTCCCCACTTGGTTGGTTAGATATTGCTGTAGATTGCTTCCTGCTGCTTGCTCAAATTGGTCTCAAAGAGGTACCGAAAATCTTCTTGGAATTTGCTTCGGTTAATAGCAGATTGCGACGGTTGCCTGTGGTTTGAATAGAAGACACCAACTCGTCTGCAAAAATTCGCAAACCAACAAACCAACTATTCAGTAAGTGGTAGTCAAACTGTAGAAAATGTGATACAAACCAGAAACGGAGACTGTTTGGCTTCATGGTAAAAGGCACGCCTCTTAAAATGTGTTTGTTTAAGAAGGCACAGTTTTTACTTTGCCACACACTGTTTGCAACTGATTACATAGCGACAAGTGGGAGCTTCCTGTAATCACTTGCCAATATTTTCCACTAGTGACTGGAGGTTGAGAGTGGGTCACTGAGCAGTCTCTAGGTCTGTGTCACTAAGGCCCAACTATTGCCTAAGCCTGTTGCATCACAATCACCAGAGAACACCTTATACTTACCTTTGACATAACAAAATCTTTTAAAAAAAGGGGGGCATGGGTCGGAGGATGGGCTGAAATTTACAGGTTTTTGATGAAAGTTATAAAAACTGCTTGTTTGTCACAGGATGACTGCAGTGTCTGCAGATCAAGTGGGTTTAAATTGTGTTTCAGTACTTTAATAAGTCATTGGCAGTACAGTATACATATAACTTTTAGGTTTTCATTTAAACTTTTTTCAAATGTTTTGTAAAAAAAAAAGAAGTAATAATTTAATGGAAAAATAATCAAGAAGTTATTTTAAAGGCTAAAATGATTCTTATCTTAGTTGCAGCTCGAATCCGATAAGATTAAAAGAATGTCTCGGATGGAAAGTTGGGACAATTGTTTTTGTCTGTGTCCTTCCAGACGTTCCGTGCAAGTATGCAGAAATAAACTTTTTATAGCCATTGAGCAAAGTTAGAGCGAGATAACAAAAACCAAGGAAAGCTAGACATAAGGAGCATGAGCGACATAAAGAGTCAGTCTGGCCAGTCGAGTTCAGTTCACTCAAGTTCTGTTCCAGCCACCGTTGGGCTGTGAGGTAAGTTACTCGATACCCGCGGACACAGACAGAAGCAGCGTGATTGACAACGTTTCTGTCATTCATTTCCTCCCTCTGCTGCTTCACTTCCAATATTTCTCTCATGGTAAAGTTTAAAGATGATTTTTATCTCCTCTCACAGCCGCGCAGCATCTGATAAAATGCCTTTTTGAAATATGACGCCCCGAGTCATCTGCAACTGGAAATACCGACATGGTTTACTTTTATCAGGAATTTACCGCTGGGCTAGAATCTATCACATGGAGGGTCTGCGTGACGGGGTAGCCAAGTGTCCGTGGACAAATTGTGGAGACCTCTTTGCACAGATGTACATACAGAAACCACAACATACATACATGCGCACATGCATGCTTATCAAGACATTTAGGGCGTGTGTGTTTGTACGGTCAGATCAAGAGCAGTTTGAGACACTTGACAGGCAGCAGGAAATGGCAGAGGTCACTGTATCAAGACACGTGAGGCGAAGCTAGAGAAAGAGAGGAAAAAATATTGTGGGACTAAGATAAGAAGGCAAGAAAAAGAAAAGCAAAATATATTATTGAGAAAAGTGCAAACCATTCGTCACAGCTGGAGACACCCTCAGCGCTCTATTAGCTGCTCGGACCCCGGCACTACTTGAAAATTAATTAGTTTTGTTAGCTCGGGAAAACAATCACAGCAAACATGCCCAACCCCAGAAACACACGCAGGCACGCACACAAATTCTAATCTGTGCCTTTCACAATCAGGAACCAGAGGAAATGAGATTTCGAAGGTGAGCATAACAGTGTGCCACACATCTGCAGAAATGACTGCCCCTGGCCAAATTAGACTTGGAAATACGAGGGTGACATTGACATAAAATATAGAGCAGAAATGCTTTTACATCAGGATGAGAGGGAAGTTCAGACACCGAGATAAAGCTCTTCAGACCGAATTTAAAGGGAGATAAGAGTGGAATACCTCTGATGGAGAAACAATCGACCTTGTCAGATTGTTCGTTTCTACTGCTCCGCTGATGTTTATGAATGAAGGTAGATTTAGAGAGCTAAGAGGCCGCAAAGTGAATGCGAATAGATAACGTCGAGTGGATTTGGACCAGAAAAGCAATCTTGTAATGTAGCTATGCAATTTTTTTTACCTTTCTGCTGTGCAGAGAGCTCTCTGTGCCTCCACTGGTCATGGCTGTGGAGCATGTCATAGAAATGGTCTGGCTTTTTTAGGTAATACATCAGGAATACTGCAAATACCACGGTTACCTGTTAATAATTTTCCCTACAATAGGGTTCATTATCAGATAATTAGGCAGTTTGATCAACTTCATCTGGGACTTGGGTGATTCGGAATTATTGAAGAATGCAAACGCAGAAGGTCCGACTACAAATAAAGTATCTCGCTGATATGACTAGGCTGAAAATATCAAAGCTTCAAAACTGGTAAAACGTCCTTTTTTAATTAAATAGTTTGAAAGAAGCCAAACTCCTTGAATATTAAACACAAACGGCAATAAAAGAAGTATCCAGGTTTTTTTTTTAAAGGGTGATCACAGTTATGACCAGACATTCGATGTCAGCTAAATACATTTCAAAGTAAACCGTTTCCATCACATCACACATCCATCGTTACCCATCTCATTGATTTAAAGAACTCCAGTCCCTATAATTTTGCAATAGGATGATTAGATTTGGTTCCACAAATTCAGGTAACAACAAACTCTTTTCCCGCAGTGCAGTTGCTTTGTTGGTGCAGAACCTTTTTAGCTTTGAGAACCCATTATTGTGCAGCATTACAAACTTAAGTTGTATGTCTTTGTGTGCTGCATCTGCCAATGCTGGTAGTCCTTTCCGTTGCCACTAATGTCAGTAGGTCTAAATTTGGACCCAGCAGTTTTTGCACAGTCTTTTATCTATGGTGGACGTTTTTTGAGCCATTTCTAAATTGGGCAATGATACTTTGGTGGAAGAGGGATGCAAGAGGTGTGATTGCTTCTAAAAGCTCCCATTTACCATCGTTGGATCCCTTTTAGAATCATTATTAAAAATATGCATGTCATGCTTGGCCAGTTTCCACAAAGGCTTTAGCTAAAGACACCACCAAAACATTTTAAAGCATGCTATAATCAAGCTGGAATTGTCTACTGTTAAATGCAATTACTTATTTTGGATGTGTGGCTTGATATAGGTGTCTGTCTGTGTAGCACATTGGTTATACAGAAACAATAATTATGGGGATTGTAACCATTATAGAGGCTAGGGAGACGACAGCGACGAAACTGCACATAGGTCATGTGCAGATTGGTTGCTAAACAGAAAGGGGAATGCACAAAGATAAACCATCAAAGACGTGGATGAGAAGCACAAACAATGGCTGGAGATTTTTTATTTTTAATGCTTGGTTTCACAGAACTACAAAGCTCTTTGTGTTTCGACTTTTATCTTCTATGCAGCAGGTGGCGAGTTAAAGACTCAACAACAGCGCAAACGTGAACAAGTATAGCCCACATTGCCAGTTGTTTCAAATAGTTTTGACTCTGCCCCCAACTTCCAGACACATGTCTGCAAACTGCAAAGCTCTCTTTAGCACCGGCACATCTGAGTGGCTGGTGTTTGGGTTGCGTGTTAGAATGAAGCCTGATAGGGTGCAGCGCTGATACTCGTGCTCTCAAAGCTGTTTTATTACAAAGTATAAAGGTATCTTTTGTCAAATTAAGAAGTTCAAGTGTGGTAATAATAGTGACATTTTAACTGACATTTTAATTCAGAATGACATTTCCCCTGATCACGCAGCAGTAGATTAGATCAAGGAAGGTATTTCGATATCTGAAACTGAAGCTGGCATGTTTGAAGTGCCTTTGTTTCTTAACTCCGTGTGATGTGTCCACAGCCTCCATCTCTGACGACAGAGGAAGAAGGAGCTGCCTTCGACTCAAAGTCTTCGTCAGGCCTCAGAGTGAGTCCCAGATTGTTGTGTCTGCTCTGCCTGGTTTTCCATTCTTTATGTGTGCCAGCGTGTGATCGGACTGCGCGCGTGTGACGTTCAACTCATCTAATCTTCACATCTCCTCTCTCCTCTTTGTTTCTCTTAGACAATTGTGTGAAAAACTCTGGGACCGTGGAAGAAGGAGTCAATTTTGATGATAATAGTCACAACTCCCTAGAACCTGGAGGTTGGTGGGAATATACTGTACAGTTCATGATGTTTGTCAGTGTGTGATGGTGACGGAATCATGTGGGATAGATAAAGATTATTCTGAACACGTGGTGATGGACAGATTAACCATTGAGTCAGAGGTTTGGATGACGTTAGTCAATAAAATGATCGACAAAAATTTAGTTGATAGACTGGCATTCAGGTAATCGTGATATACCGAGATTTGGATTTGCATCACTATTTCCCAGTGTGTCACTTAAATACAAAGCTGGAGGATGAAGTAGGTTAGCTATGATTAGCAGAAAAAAAATGGTGGCTCCTTTTAATTCAGTTAAATGTAGGTGTCGTGTCTTGGCTAGGTGTTGTGACTTCCTGAAGTCTTTGGTGGCTGCAGTATCAGGTGACATAGACATGAAAGAAAAAACTTTGGCCTTGGGGCGGTTGGTTGGTTTTTTTTAGATGGAGCTTTGAATAGAGTTAAGGTATTAGGAGCAAGGCGTAACTCTAAAATTACACCCATAACAAGGAACTAGCAAAATGTGATGTTTTTAGCCATCTTCTATGACAGGACATTGTTTTAGCACATGGCATTTCTAATAAGGCAATAAAAAGCTTAGTTAGCTGTGTGTTAGCAGGGTAGTTAGTTAAGGAATTTGTAAATATAACAACATTACTCACTGCATACAGGTTAAATATTGTCAAAATTTGCTTTAAGCTTAATTTAATCTTTTAGTGCCGCTTGTCTTATGCCTGGCTCGTTGTTTTGTTCATCAGTTTAGAAAAGCTCAGTTCTTTGTTCTTCAACGTGTTTCTAGTGCATCCCACCAAACTGCAGCTTTTAGGCATTTATCAATTGATTTTTGATAGCAGTTAGACGTGACAAGGAGGCCTCTAAACTAAAAAAAAAAGGCAGTCGAAAACCATGACTTTTTCCTTCTCTGTTGCTGGTGCGACTTTATTGGACTCCATCTCTATATAAAACATTTGTAAAGCTCTTTCTGAATCATTTGTTGCCTTTTAAGATATTTCTGTCACAAAAGGGAAAACCGTGGTTGGAGACCATGGCCAAAATTATTGCCACCATTAGCAATGAACTCGCAATCTCATTGACTTTAAAAGACAAACTGAATCTGCTACCAATTTGTGATTGAATTAGGTCAAGTTACAGGCAATCTGTTGGAGATTAAAATTAGCAGTAAACGCAATTTGTTGTCTGCAAACACAGAAATTTGTATTAACCAGAAAACTATATTCAGTCCAACCAGAACCTCATACATATGAAACAGAAATTCAGAAAATTCTTCATAAATAGAAAACGTAACTTCTGCAGGACAGCAGTTTAACCACACACGGCTGGTCTGCAAACGATTCATTAGTGGGTCAAATACACCTTCCAACCAGTCGCTGCAGGCCCCCCCTCCCTGAGCCTGGTTCTACTGGGGGGCTCTTCCTGTTAAAAGGGAGTTTTTCCTTCCCACTGTCACCAAGCCCTTGCTTAAAGGGGCTTGTATGATTGTTGATGTTTTATGTGCTATTGTAGGGTCTCTGCCTTACAATATAAAGTGCTTTGAGGTGGCTGGGCCATATATAAATAAAACTGTATTAACCTCCTAGGACCTGGCGTCCACATATGTGGACATCCCATTTTGGGTTATTTAGACCAAAATACTAAATTTTGCTCTACAAGGGCCTGATATCCACTTACGAGGACATTATACTGCTACTGTTCTATCGAAATTTTAAACAAATATCCTTATATGTGGCTCTCATTTTTCTTAGAAACAAAAATCAGGTAAAAAAAATATCTGGTAATTCTTTGTTTTTACATTCATTGGTTCCCAATATGCTCAAATATCAAAGAGAAATGAAAAATGCATGCCGTGGAAGAGTGCAGGTCTTAGGAGGTTAAAATACACAATCAAAATTTTGCATGAGGGAGCCTCAAAATCATCACACAATTTCAGCTTTCCCTGTTAACTGTGCATTTTCATCTGTTTGTTCTTAGATGGCGTCAGTCACGAGTCACCAGAGCCAGCAAGAAGGGATGTGAACTCCGCTGGACGGTGCCAGACTTCAGTTCTCCTGCTCAGCTCCACCCTCATACTCCTGGCTGTCATCTTGTCTTTATAGCGGCGAGATGCAGAAATCAGGGATGGACTGTCCTAACTGGAGCACAGGCCGCTCTACCCTGCAACCTCTCCCCTCAAGGAGCACTTTTAAAAGAAAAAATGAAATAAATAAAAAAAAAATTAAAACAAATCACTGACAATCTCTCGTTACAAAGAGAGAGGAAGGGACTTCGGTGCTGAAGCCTTTGATGTTTTTTGACTTTGTAAAATGCCAACTAGTTTGATTTTTGACTTTCTGGCGAGTGCCGATGGTCATGGCGCCGCAAGGTGAAAGCGTCTTTTACCTGTTCGCCTCTACCATTTAAAGTATGCAGATATTACACCTTTTTTTTGCATTTAAAACAAGCACAGAAACATGCTTTTAAACATATAAACACACAGGACACAATGTCTACACAATCAGTACACTTTTTAACGCGAATGGCAAAGAAGCACAGCAGGACCCCTCTGAAGTTTACAGATGAACTCTGTTTTTTGTTTTTGTTTTTTTACATTACATAACCTCCAACATGTAACATGATTAAATCTCACTTCAACGTGGAAGAAGATCCTGGAGCGGCACATCGGCAAAAAGGAAAACAAAGAAAGATGCTATTTGTTGGAGATTGTTGGTACAGGCGTGGAGGTACGGGGCGGGCCTTTGATGGATTAACCTCTCTCTCAGGTTAAAAAGGATGCATTGTCTCAGACTGTGGAGGACCCTTTATGAGAGATTTAAAAAAAAAGAAAAAGTTAAAGAAGCACTCATCTTTTAGTGTTTGGATAGGAGGCGATTTTAATGGTTGATTAATGTATGTGTTTGTTTTATTTTTTAATAATTCACATAACTCAATTGTAGCAGCCAACACGGGTGTACAGTAAAATATTTGAATGGCGCGTAGACAACGATACGGTCTTTTGCCTGGCGAAATGTATTTTCCTATTTATTGTGAAGTCCTTGTGCTTTTTTCTGTTCTGGTTCAGTCTGTAAGTACAGTAGAAAGGCAATAAAAAACAAACACCCTTACCCGTTAAGTTAGTTTATATTACCCACAGTTTATTTGATACCATTAAACAAAAAAAACAACAACACAGTTTTACGTATCTGTTTGGACTGCTCGTTGATGATGGTTTTTAATTGTTTTTAACAAAGTCCGGGAAGAAGAGGAAAAAAAAAAAGTCTGATGTGCTATCAGGGTGTAGAAATCGTAGAATATTTGTGTTTGAAATGTCATTAAATGAATGTCACAAATGTAGTTTTACTGTTACACTATTGTTTTTGTGAATCACTGTCATAACACAAACTATTGTAAATAGAAGGCAAAGTTCCTACAAAGTTCAGGGATGTGTCCATGCCTAACATGAGGTCCATTTTTTCTTTGTTTCTATATCAGGGAGAATTCTCTTCCCTAAAATAAAGTAGAAATTTTATGTGGCGAAAAAAGTTTCAGTGAGATGGTAGGCGAATTACAAAGCAGGTGGAAGAAGTGTGCGTAGGATGGTCGGGACTGTGATTCATTTACCCTCTTTGATGTCGTGTAAAGTGGCGTCTGTACAGAAAATACACCGGGGGCACCCTCGTACCAGTTATTTCTGGAATGAAAAAATCGACCACCAGAGGAGATGGAATAAACACGAGGTGGTGTCCTGTTCTCTTGGGGCAAACTGAAACTGACCTGAGAGAAGGGGGGAAAGAGATGAAGAGGGCGAGATGTGAAGCACTGTAGTGCCCATGCTGAGATCAATAATGCTCTTCTATTTTCTTCTCGTGTGGCAGGAACATGTGGTAAACGGATCCTACCGTCACATTCACTCAGCGCCAAATAACACAGCCTTGCTAATGTCACTGCTAAAGAACAACACCTGTACTGCCTGCTTGCTGGAAGCACGGGAGTGTTAGGGCCACTTTGGGTTAAAATAAACCAAGTTAAGGAAAGAAACAGAAGTTTTGGTAAGAAAAGAGTAAAAGATAGTAATTACATAGCATATTTTTTAGGTTCAAAGATGCAAATATTTTATTTGATTGGCTCCCGTGCTAAATATACATGTAGATCAGGGGTGGGCCCCTGGCCCATTCTGGCCCGTGGCAAAGGAAACTAAATGGAAGGCCTGCATAGGTTAAGTGTATTTTTATAAGTTTTACAGCTTTTTCTATTGATAAAGACCACCCCCCCTCCCACATACACACTCACACTATAACTACAATAGACAAAATATAAATGAGAGAAAAGCTCCTGTTTTCCACCAACTACTTTAAAAATTTCATTTTTTGTCCAGTCCACAGTAAAAGAAAAAAAAAAAAAGACATTTTTCTATTAATTAACAAAAACCTTTTCAATAATTTTACACATATAATGTAGTTTCACTGGTTCCCCCCACTTGAGTTGCCCTGGCTTAGCGATAGACTGTAGAGATTTCTCTTGACTATAATGGAACTAAACTATGTTAGCCTTGTTATCCTCAAAAGGCGCCAAAAATATACATTTAAAAAACTTGGCAGAATTTCTTTGCAAACTTTCTTTTGAGCAGGAACTATTTTTTTTAAATTACAACAGCCAGTTAAAGAAGGCATGCAGTTAGCTAACATCAGATTCATCTGAGGCAGGCATGCCATGTCACGAGCACGTAATAAGACGTCACTTGCTTGCTAGGTGGTGTTCGTAGAAAGAAAATACTTCTTGCATAAAGTTGTTATTAAGTAACCAGAAAGAGATACCTCTGGAGGTTTTCAAACATATATTTTTGGGACTTTTGTTTTATTTCTGTTATAAATATGTGTGGGGTAATGATTTCAGTCTACAAGGATAAGTAGTGTAAGTCGTTAAATTTGGCCCTAACACTCCATCATAGTGCAGGACACCCGTGGCATAGAAGAAAAACAACAGTGTGTAACTTGTTGCATAGTTTATAAGTTGCTCCCTTAAATACCGAAGACAAGACCAAAAAAAATTAATAGCTTTGAGTTTTCAATTTGATCCTCTGTACCTGGCAGATACAAGGACCACTCTTTCAGAATGGCTGGTAAACTGAAGCTGATGTTTAAAACTGGTGGAGTGTCCCTTTAAATTATAACTTATTTAATTTATAATTACTTCCTCAAATTTTCAATATAGTGCATTGGGGTTTTTTTTTTTCATTTATTTCTGTGAAATTATCACCTCTCCTCAGGGACACAAAGGGAAGAAGATGGGGGATTTTTCTGATAAAGCATAAATTTGTTACTTTACATAACATTTGCATTAAATAATCTATTTGCCCCCTTTACCATTGGCATGCTTCACTTTCTAAACAAAAACTTTATTTAATGGGGACCTATTGTGCTCAATTTTAACTTTCTTGTGATTGGCTCCCCCTTACAACCAAGTTTGAAACCTGGGGCTTCTGTGCTAAGACGACCATATTAGGGTTATCCACCCTTTATGATATCATACAGAACCAAAAGAGGAAAAACTCGTCTGAAACAGTGTTTAGAGCAATCTGAAGCCTGAGCTTTGGCCTCACGTGGATTACTTGTACATACTTATGTCATTATTTGAATCTTTAGCCATGCTTAACGTGAGCACCCAACATTGTAATAGTTTATATGCATGACAGAAATTAAGAAAAAGCATATTAGGTCTTATTAAAAATTAAGCTAAGAACTTGAGACAGACAAGAATGGAGTATAAAAGCATTATTTTCAGGAGAATCAGGAAATTAATAGTTTGAGGTGAAAGGTTATTAATATAGCGGCACAACAAGTACGCTGCGCATCTGAATTAGTTAACAGATTTCTTTTCTGTCATTTTCTTCAAGAGCTTAGTAAGATTTAACTAACATTTTCCTCCTTGGTCACAGCTTGGCCACTCGCCTCTCCATGAACATCAGTCCTGTTTTTTAAGCCTGGCCAATATTAAAAGTCCACTATCATTGAAATTATCGCCTCCAGCCACACCATGTTGAGAACCCCCCCGAAACAATCTGTTTGTTTTGTGGATACTGTGTATCCAACAGTTAGCGTGTTATTACACACAGTGTTAGATACTCCTTTTTTCTCGTCCCACACCTCTTTTAAAGGGCGATTTACCTGACATATTAACGTTCTTTGGGAAGAAAAATGTTTGATACAAAAAAATGCAAACTTTCATTTTATATGTCTTTTATATGAAGCAAGAAAAACAAACAAGGATCATCATTGCACTCACTATCTGTAAAATATGTTTGTGCAAATGTGGCACATATCAAACATGCAGTACGGTTACAATCATGACTCAAATGGCCTGACAAGAGTACAAATGGATGTCCAAGAGCTCGAAAAATTTGTGTTTCCTTTTGTTTTCTTAAACCGCTCTTGATTTTTTTTTTTTTTTAATTGTTGCATCCAAAGTGTCTTTAAAGGTCCAGGATGTTCTTTATTTCCGTTTGCTTATCTACACCTCCAGCTGTTTCTGACATGTAACAATAATAATCAGTGTAAAAGCTCAATGTGTTAGTGGCAGAAGAAGACAGTCCCACTCAAATGCTGATGTTTCGTGTGTTTTTGAGCAAACTGTGCTACGAGGAGGGTGGGTAACATGCTCTAACCTGATTTTGTTATAATGTAGCTTCAAGCTAACACCACTGTTTCTGTTTGCAGCATCTGTTTCCCATCCTCTGTATCTGAAATACAGATGTGTGCTTTTTTTCTTCTGTTGCTCCATCTAGCAGTGGGAAGCTTTTTGTTAGCCACAACTGTGTTTTCCCCTCCCCCAAGTAGACGTGGATGTGCCACCAAACTGCACATTTCTTTAAAACATTGTAGTAACTGTACCTTGTGCCTATACAAGTCCCATCCTCTCCTGTACTCATCTAAACTATTCTAATGTCTGTTTCCTGCTCAGTCCTTCACTAGATTTTTCTACAAAACTAGAAAAAAAGGCAATTTCTTTGTAAATACACGTGTTGGAGCAGCTATGACTAACTAAAACAAAAAAGATTTAATAAATATTTCTTTGTCGTTGTAATTATCGTGTCTGATTTGTTTTATTAATCGTTATGGAAATGAGTGACAGCTTGTGAAACAGAAAGAACATCAAAAAGGCGTGAAAGCTTCGTCGCGGCAGCGCGAGCAAGCACTGGATGTTTGTCTTGGTTGTCGCTCGGTGCATAATCACACAGGCCGAGTCCGGGGGAAGTGGATGAACAGCTGTTTCTCCATAATCTGGAGGTAATTCAGTCTGAAAAAGCACAAAACAGAAACAGCTTCAATTAATCTTGCAGGGAATGTGCAGCGCTTCGGGGAGCTCTGCCAAGAAAACTCCGTCTCACACGCTCTTTTGCTCCTCACTCCACTCTGCCTCTCCTGCTGTCTGACTTAATTTCTCAATTTCTGTCCTTCTTACCCTCTTTTTGTACCTGTGGTGAGTTTGAAACCTTTAACTGGCTCATTTCATATAATCTAGATCAAGGTTTTTGCCAAATTTAAATAACCCGGAGAGACAATGTAGGCAAGGTGTCTGAAATAAATCATAACATTTATTTCATGGGAAATGCATAAATATACCTAAAGGACAGAGTATCTTGATTACCAACATAGATTGCATATAAAAGATGGCTGTAGCTTCTGTGATGTCAGCCACTTGTTCGTAAATCCTGTTATGAAGTGTTTTCACCTTCACTTGGTGTTTTGAAACCAGATGTGAAGAGCTAGGGGCGGCTCTGACTGTGATTGGGTTGTTAGCCCAAGAGCACACCCTGGACAATCCTTCAAACTCTAATAATGACCAGAATTTATAAAACAACGTGTTTTATTCAGTATGGCCTGAAGCTAGAGATTTAACCAATAAACTCATCATGAAAGCATTTGTTGAAGTCACCCTGGACGGAGTATTTCCTAGACTTGGGATGAGGTTGTCACCAATGATGACTCAGATCTTAATTATTAGTTATTATTAGTCTCTGTCTTCCTCCCCTCACCCCCAACTGGTTCTTCCTGTTAAAAGGGAGTTTTTCCTTCCTACTGTTGTCAAGTGCTTGCTCAAAGGGGGTTGGTTTGATTGTTGGGGTTTCATTATTGTAGGGTTTTACCTTTACAATATAAAGCACCTTGAGGCAACTGCTGTTGTGATTCGGTGCTATATAAATATAATTGAATTGAATCTTAGAGCAGAAACTTGTACAACCTTCTTTAACCTTAAGTGGGCCAGACCAGTGAAACTCCCTTTGCTATCAATGTAAATGCATTTCACTACACATTTAATCTGTGAGGTCTTAATACGAGTGCAATTTCAACGGTACGTCTCAGTTTTTCTACATGACAAATGTGTAAAACTACTGATAAAAATTCTGGTAGCTCAGTGGCTAGACAAATGTTTTAGTAGATATTTCTACAGTACGCAGTGAAAAACAAGAATTTTTCTGTCTTCAGATTGTTCTACTACTATCCATTACATTACTTTGGAAAAGGTGAAGAACTGTATTTTCCTAGGTTTTACAGCTTTTCCAATTGATAGACTTCCTCCACTGCAATTCATACTACACCAAAGCCTTTCAGTGGGTCAGATTGGAGTCTTTGTCAGGCTGATTCTGGCACCCAGGCCTAATGTTTAACACTGCTTCACATGGACAAGGAGCAGTTTAAGGAAGTGCAAGACTAAATTTCTAAAGATAAGAAGTTCTGAGAGACATTTATAATGCAGAAGAGGCAGCGGTGTGCAGTTAGTCAAGGCAAAAACTATCTGAAAGTTGCCTATAATAT